CCTTGTCAACACTTATTACTTTGTTTTTTGGTAGTAACATTCTACTGGGTTTGAGGAGCTTTTTATTTGTGCTTCCCTAATAATTGGTGATGTTCAACATCTTTTTACATGCTCATTGCCCATCTGTATGCCTTCTTTGGAAAAATGTCTATTTAAATCCTTTCTCCATTTTAAAATTGAATTTCGTTGTTGTTGTTGAGTTGTGGGAGTTCTTTGTATGATCTAGATATCAATCTCTTATCACATATATAATTTGCAAATATTTTCTCCTATTTCATGGGTTGCCCCTTCAATCTGTTGACTGTGTCCTTTGATAACTACCTAACTCTTTTCTCATCTGAAGTCTGGGCATCGCAGCAGCTCTATTAGGATGATTAGAAGATACCACATATGTGGGGAACACTCCCGTGTGAGACCCCTAAAAGGCGTGAGTCTCAGTATATGGTGAGTTTGATCCCAAACACAGTTTCCTACTGGAGGCAGTCGAGCTATCCGGAAAGATAGGAACTGAAAGATGAATGATCAGTTTCTAATATCAACCACAATATCGTTTGGGCCTAAAACTATGCGTTGCTGCTAGACCGAGTGACCCCCTACCGGCAACCAGTTCCTGCTTTTAACCTTTTTAAGACTTTAAGAATAATCCTTAAACCTTACTTACCAGACTGCCTTGTACCCTAGATAATGGTTTAACTGTCGACATTTGCAAAGCAAATACCACCATAAGGGATGGCTTTGATTTCTGACTCAGAGATTCCTGAATGGGGAAATTGAGTTAAGTTGAGTCAGGAGTAGACAAAGGAGAATCTGATTAAAAGATATTCTGATAAGCAAAACCAGAAAACCTTTTCACATCTCAGTTCTAAAACAAGATCAAACCAGAGATACCTGCAGCCAGGAGGAATAATGTCTGGATGTAAACAAGCTTTGTGATCACAGGAAATTCTGTTACTTTTTACAACCACTGATTGTGTATCTGACTTTTCAATTGTATAGGCCATGTAAGGTATACATTTGTATTTCCTCTTACTATGAGGTAAACCAAAGCCAAGAAAGTGTATTTATTCCTGGCCTTTGAAAAATAAAATTTGCTGTTTAGGCACAGCCTGTCAGCCCTCCAGACGCCTCGCTTTCTCTCTCTCTGTCTTTATTATTTTCCCAGGCGCCCTCCCTCTTCCAGGTATTGGGACCCTCTTGCAGGTTGAGAGACCCCCGGGCAGACGTGCCTACCCGTCCCGGACGGTCCACGACATCTGGCGACCACGACACGGGGCCTGGACACGAGGGATTACAGTGACGCACATCAATTAAGGAGTGAGGCTGCAGCAGTTAAGTTTTTGAGTTGTTTTCTTAATCGTGTATATACAAGTGTTTATTTTCAAGTTTTCAGTCTGGAGTAAAACATGGGGCATTTAGAGTCTATGGAATATAAGTTGTTTATACCTTTTATGATTAAGACTAGAGGTCGTGATGTAAAGTTTAGTCATGTATAGAAATTTTTGCAAATTGTTCGTGAATTGTGTTCTTGGCTCCCTGAAAGTGAAAGTTTGGATGAAAAAGCTTGGGGACTTAATGGAGAAAAGATTAATCAATTTTGCTTTCAAGGTAATAATCTACCTCAAACTATTGTACTGACTGCTGTTTGGAGAAAGCTTTGTGAATGTGTTTGTCCATCTGTTTCTCTCTTAGAAAATTTGACCACAGAAGCTTTGCCTCCGCATGATTGGGGCGGGGGTACTCGCAGTGGAGCCAAAGGCCCAGCAACTGCTAGCTCAGTTTTAAACTGACATTTTTTTTTCCTTTCTCTGCCGACTGCAAGTCCCACCCGCTCAGCTCTCAGGCAACAAAGTTCCTCTCTCTTTGTTGGGTAGAGGAGAAAGTCTCTCTCACCATGACAGGAACAGGATAAAAAGAGTAGGGGCAACCGGTAAGGATTCCACTGGAGAAGAAAGAGTTTGAGATCAATAGACTTAGGTTTAAAGATGACCTTTGCCACTTTCTAGAGAGACATTTTGTTCTCTGGGCCTGAACTTTTTACTGGACGTAACACCACAAATGGGTGTTAAGAACCGAGAATGGGTGTCACTAAGGGCTGAAAGTGCCAAGATCTGAGCAGTTAGCTCCTCCCTCCATCTATTCGTACACTCAACAAATACCCACTGAGTGCTCACTGTGTGCCAGATAGTGTTAAGTGCTAAGGAAACATACAAGAACCCCTCTGCTTATGGCCATTACATTAGACTGGAGGAAAGGGAACAAACACAAAATAAGTGTACAGTCTGTTGGATGGCAGAAAGCGCTAGGAAGAAAAATAATGCAGGGAAAGGGAAGAACGGAGTGGGCAGGTGGTCCTAGAAGCTCACTACGGAGGTACTTGGGCAAAGGCTGAAGGAGTTGAGGGAGCAAGCCATACAGTCAACTGGGCAGAGGGTTTTACAGAAGGAAGAAGCAGAGTGCAAGGGTCCTGAGGAGGGTGTGTACCCAGGTACTATGGATGCAGCAAGGAGGTCAGGGTAGTCGGAATAGAGGTGAAATCAGAGAGGTAACAGGAAACTGAAATGGCCCCTCCAGGCCATTTTTAAAGACTTGATTTTTACTCTGAGTAAAAATGGGAAGCTACTGGAATCTGGCACAATGAAAGGTGGCAGAATTATTGAAATGTCTCAACCCTAACCTGTTTGAAAATTTCACAATTATCTTTTTAAAAATTCAGCAATGTAAAACACTTCTGCTTTTGGATGAAATCTTATCCACTTACAGCGGTGATGATATATTTAGAATTTCTGGGCTAGCACACTGTTACCAATGATACCAGAGCTGTAGCTCAGGACTTTATTCATCCATTTATTCAGACTTGAGGATAAAAGACAGGAGTGAGACAGATAAGAAGCTCAAGGGTAGTGGAGGAAGGCAAATATACAGAAGCACACAAAGTGACTAAAGCACCATGACAGACAACTGTACCATGTGCAAAATGACCTAAGAAAATGAGGGAGGGGACTGAGCCTTCAGGTATGTGTGTTGATCAGGGGACAAGGGGAAGTACCTCCCTTTGGCTGAAAGGACATTGCGTGCAGAGGGAATTTCTTCAAGAAAGGCCCAGATGTTGAAACGTGATGGCAGTTTCTGGAATATGCAAGTGGTTTAATAGGGCTGAAGAAGGGATGATGTTATAGCTAAAACCAGCATTGGTCTGATCATGGGAGATTTTGCTGGCTATGCTAAGAAAATATCCTTAATCTGAGAGAGATGGAGAACCTTTGGAGAGTTTTAAGGGTGACAGTAGCATGACGACATTTGCACTCTGCAAGAATAATTTTGACAGCAGTGTGGAGTATGCACGTGAGAGGTGTAAGGGGAGGGTGGAAGGAAAAAATTCAAACATGAGATAAGGGACAGAGGAGACACAGTAGCAATTGGGAGAACAAGAAGGGTAAAGGACAAATAAACATGTAGGTGACACAAAGGAAGAGCCCAATAAATAAGTCAGATGTCAGGAGAGATCTAGAATTATTTTCCAGTTTCTAGTGACCATTTTGCACTGGCTACACCATTTTAGAGGGGTAAGTTACCCCTCCCTTTGAGGAGGGGTGCACGTAGCGTTTCTGATATGCATTTAAGATATCTGTGTGAAATTCAAGTAAAGATGTCCTGACAGCTGAACAAATATGAGTCTCAAAATCAGAGAAAGAAATTTGCGTTGGGGATTAAAATTTGAGACTATAAATCATGAATGTGGTGAGACAGTCTAGGGGCAACATTTACCATGAGGAAAACAACATTACCAGAATAGAATCTTGAAGAACATCAACATTTAAGGAGTGAAATGAGGTACAGATCTTGCTCACCAATGTGTCATTAATGCCTAGCCTGGAAAAAACTGGATGCTCAATAAATGTTTGTGGGGTTATAGATCGATAGAGGAAGAGAGGGAGGCAAAAGTACTTGTCATAAAAATAGGAGAACTTGAAGACAATCAGGTCTGGAAGAAAGGAGAGTTTCAAGAGAGTGCATTGGAGAATGTCAAACGCAACCGTGATCAAAATGAAGACTAAAGACAGTTCCCTTGATTTAACAGACAGAGAATATAGCAGGGTCCTAGCAAAGAGAAGTTAACGCCTGAACTGAGATTTGAAGGACAAACATTTTACAAACAAGAGGAAACTTACTACGTGCCTAATCAATCGTGTCAGGGACATTATGGTAATTCCACAAACGCTTGTTAGTTGAGGAGGAGACTGACAGATGATTACGCTGCAGACCAGGACCCTCCCCACCATCAGCGCAAACATTTGTCACTCTAGCCCCACTGGACTCTTAGCTAGGCAATCCACGCCGGCCCAGAAAGTTTTCAGAACTACGATTCCCAGCAGGACAAGCGCCAGACGAGCCTGAACTTAGAAGATAAACTGGGCGCAAGGGCTTCTGGGAACCGTAGTTTAGGACGCCGACCTCAAGAGCCAGGCTGGGCACGCTTCCCCACAAACTCCTTACTTGAGCTCTTCAGCCGAATACATCCCGAAGGAAATGCCCTGCAGCCGCCGCCAGGGCATGTTCTTGGAGATCAACATCCTCCAGGTCGGTTCTGAATTCTGACACCCAGAGAAACGTTCTACTCACTACCAGCGTATTCTTAAGCCAGGAGTCACCACGTGATTCAAACTGCGCTTGCGCGCGGAAATGTCGTTCCCGGACGCAGGAAAGACATATACGTGGACGAAATCACTTCTGCATGGGGGGTGGACAAATAGTTGTAAAACTCTCAGGTCGCTCTCTTATTTTGAAAACAGTCAAAGATATGTAAACCATCAAAATAACCATTTAGGAAACATTTCTCTGAGGCAAAAAGGAGGTGTATAGAGCCTTTAGCTTCCGCGACAAAGTCTTTCCAACCATGCGCTTGCAACCTCCCATTTTATGATTGCTTTAGTCTTCTTCAGCTTCAGCCAATAGCAGAGCTGTTCCCTGTTCCCCGCCTACTTCGCCCCCGCTGCCTGAGGTCGAGGCTCGCTTTCCCAACATGCTCTGCAGAGAAACCAAAGATGGCGGCTGTCGCTATTGTTCGGTGGTTGGGGCTCCGCAGTAGGCTTGGCCAGCCGCTGAAGGGTCGGCAGGCAGGTCTTTGTGAACGGGCACACAGCTGCAGGTAAGAGACGCTCAGGGGATCCACGAAGAAGACCGCGAAGTCAGCTTAGTCGTATGTTTACCCGTTGGCTGTGGAAGTAGGCACGATGAAGGGGTTTGCCCATGCGTGCCCTTAAGGTCGCGTGCCCTTAAGGCCAAATACACGGAGGTGGTCCTTTGAAATGGGTTCGCCAAGCATTTTTTCATTAGAGAAATACTTACTGGTTGCTTACAATATTCTGTAGTTAACTACCCCAAATTAAAAATTATCCGCCATTACTCGTTTTAACTCAATCAGAAGAAGCGAGGAGAACGTACAAGATTTTACTGAATAAAAGGCATGGATCGTCACTGTGGGGATTTTTGGCTAAAGAAGTTATGAGGTTTTCATAAAAGCAGAAAAGTCTGAAAGATCTGACCGTGCTCTTTTGATCTGTGATAGATAGTTACAGCTTGGAACATGTATGACCTATTTGTGTAATTTTTCACTCAATACAAATAATGACATTGTGGGAATATGAGAGGCAGTAATATGTAGCGAAAACTTAAGAAAAGCCTAATTTACATTCAGTGTTTGCCATTCTTTTAATTGGATAATAGTAGACAAATTTCCTCATCTGCAGAGTGGAATTGTTAACTGTCCTAAAAGTTTGTGAGGTATAAGTGAGATATGTAATTTACAATACACTTTTTATATGTACTCTTCCTCAGTTATCCTCAGGAAAGAGAAACCACTCCATCTGGTATTGCAGAAACCTTTATGCTGCCATTCAATCCCAGTCCTTTTCCTGGTAGACATTGTTAGCGTTTTTTCTACACATTTTCTTTGCCTAAATCAAAATCTCTCCCTATGCATCCATTCTCAAAATAGCCATTATCTCTGTTCTCAGGAGAAACAAATAGCATGACTTGAAAGAGTTGATCTCTTTCTGAAATGTCTTTAGCCTAGAGGGGTATTGTTTTGCCTGAGACCAGATACTGCTGGAGGGAGTATCTTTCTGTGCTATCACATCTTGACAATTTTCTGAGTGTTGCTGATGTCCCTGATGCCATTTAGTAAGGGGATATACACAAGATAATATTAACTGTGCACATTATCTGTATGGCGTGTTGACTGTATTTTTAGTGTAATCAGAACATTTAAAAGCTCAGTCATGGGCCAATTATTCTATATTTTGAGTTAAAAAATGATTCGATATTGAACCTCTGAAAATAGAAAATATCAGCAATTTCAAGTCTAAATCAGGCCTTATGTATTTGGTACTCTTGATTGTTGAAGGAAGTGTAATGAAAAGCCATAGGTGATCTTCTGTATGTTGTAACTGCTTTAAGTGAGTTACTCCTTTCTGAACAGGGCATTATCTGTATTTTTATGAAAACCTCATGTAGCAAGAGCTCACTAAATTGTTCTTTTTATCGTCATAATTTGGTTCCCAAAGTTGAAAGTTCCTCGCATTTCAAACCAGATTGCTCAAGTACTATTAAAAACTTCTTTCCTCCCCCACTGTCATTTATATAATGAGATTGCTTGCTTCAAAAAATGTCGACCAGCCAGGCATGGTGGCATATGCCTGTAGTCCTAGTTATTTCAGGAGGCTGAAGCCGGAGGATCGCTTGAGCCTAGGAGTTCAAGGCTTCAGTGAGTTGTAATTGCACCACTGCACTAAATGCTGGACAACAGAGCAAGACTTTGTCTCTTAAAAAAAAAAAAAAATATATATATATATATATATATAGACAGTCTTGCCCATATCTTGTGTCCATTCCTTAATGATATTGAACATGCTGTACAGGCTGTGTCTTCTCAGCATACATTGACATGAATTATCCAGTTTAATTTGCGATAATTGTATGAATGTGGGCTCAAAATACATATAGGTGTAGTTGAGCTGGGTACTTCATTAGTGAGGATTAGCGTTACGGCTTTTATTTTTTGCAGATTTTATTCTGGAAGTGCAACCCTCTCAAAGGTTGAAGGAACTGATGTAACAGGTATATTTTAAAATCTATTGAATTCCATTTTTATATCAACACATTGAATTCTATTGCATACTAGGAAACTGATTCATATTTTATTTTTACATTAGGGATTGAAGAAGTAGTAATTCCAAAAAAGAAAACTTGGTAAGTATTCTGTCAGTGTTCATTCAGCAAATGATTGAGTGCTTACTATCAGAGAAAACATAAGGGTTAGGTAAGGAGACTGACAGGAAGAGCAGTAGGAGAGCATTCTTCCAGAGAGAGTAGCTGAGCAGGGAGAAGCTGGGAGTTTAAAGGACAGAAAAGTAGAAAGGTGGAACAGAGTAGTGAGTGAGGAATGAGCTTTACTTAAAAGAAAAATTGAGGGGTGGATCACGAGGTCGAGAGATCAAGACCATCCTGGTCAACATGGTGAAACCCCGTCTCTACTAAAAATACAAAAAATCAGCTGGGCATGGTGGCGCGTGCCTGTAATCCCAGCTACTCAGGAGGCTGAGGCAGGAGAATTGCCTGAACCCCGGAGGCGGAGGTTGCGGTGAGCCGAGATTGCGCCATTGCACTCCAGCCTGGGTAACAAGAGCGAAACTCTGTCTCAAAAAAAAAAAAAAAAAAGGAAAGAAAAATTGAAAGAGATTTTGAATTAGTGTGGGCTAATCATTATACATGGTTATACATGAACATCATTATTAGAAAAAAATTTTTAAGGAAGTTTTCTCACATGGTTGGAAGATCAGATAAAATTATTATCTCTAATGAGGTAAAATAAAATAAATGGTGCAGACAGCACAATTTACCTTTTTTATTCACTGGATATATCCTTTAACAAATTGCCTCATCTCATTTATTCAACATTTGTTGAATATGTAGGAACTAAAACTTTGCAGAAGTGCTTGTTACAGCCTAGTACTAATGAACACATTTAGTAGCCCCTCAAAAAGCTAGGTCTTAGAATTGTGTGATCTAAAGAATTGGTTTATTTAAAAAGCGTTTTTTAAAAACTTCCTTAAGGCCAGGTGCAGTGGCTCATGCCTATAATCCCAGCACTGTGGGAGGCCAAGGTGGGCAGATCACCTGGGGTTGGAAGTTCAAGACCAGTCTGACCAACATGGAGAAACCCCGACTCTACTAAGAGTACAAGATTAGCCAGGTGTGGTGGTGACTGCCTATAATCCCAGCTACTAGGGAGGCTGAGCCAGGAGAATCACTTGAACCTGGGAGGCAGAGGTTGCAGTGAGCCGAGATCTCGCTGTTGCTCTCCAGCCTGGGCAACAAGAGTGAAACTCCATCTCAAAAAAGAAACAAAACTTCATTAATCTGAATTGTGTAATTATTTTAGGGAGGGCAGAGAGCCCAGTTATGTCAATACATAGGTAACTGGGATTGTAAAAGAAGTGCAAATTAAAACTTACCAGATTGGCAGAGAGGATTTGGAGAAATATGTTTGTTTATGGGACAGTAAATTAGAACGGCTCTTTGGAGGGAAATCAGAATTGGAAATGTGCATACCTTACTGGTTAGCCACTTTGAAGGAACATTTGCATATATACATGGACAAGACTATTCTTTATTGCTTGGGAATAGTAACGGGTTGAAACAGCCTGAATGCCCATTGAAAAGTGGATGGAAGCCAGGTGCAATGGCCCATACCTGTAATCACAGCACTTCGGAAGCTGAGGCGTGTATATCACAAGGTCAGGACTTCAAGACCATCCTGGCCAAGATGCTGAAACCTCAACTCTGCTAAAACTATATAAAAATTAGCCAGGGCCGGGCACGGTGGCTCACACCTATAATCCCAGCACTTTGGGAGGCCGAGGCGGGTGGATCACGAGGTCCGGAGATCGAGACCATCCTGGTCAATATGGTGAAACCCCATCTCTACTAAAAATACAAAAATTAGCTGGGCGTGGTGGCACGTACCTGTAGTCCCAGCTAGCTACTCAGGAGGCTGAGGCAGAAGAATTGCCTGAACCCAGGAGGCGGAGGTTGCAGCGAGCCGAGATCGCGCCATTGCACTCCAGCCTGGGTAACAAGTGAAACTCCATCTCAAAAAAAAAAAAAAAAAAAAATTAGCCAGGCACAGTGGCAGACACCTATAATCCCAGGTACTTGGGAGGCTGTGGCAGGTGAGTCACTTGAACCTAGATGGCAGATATTGCAGTGAGCTGAGATCACGCCATTGCACTCCAGCCTGGGTGATAGAGTGAGACTCTGTCTCAAAAAAAAAAAAAAAGAAAGAAAATTGAATGGGTAATTTTAAAAGCTTGTTATACAATAGCTTTTTACATTGAAAAGAATTTATCAGCTCTATATTTAATAACATGGATAGTGCAGTCATACTTACATAGACACATGCAGAATGACAGCATGTGTACATTTATTTCTTAGGGAGATACATGTGTAAAAAGTTCTGGAAATACAAATGCCAAATTCATGGTGGAGACAGGTCATAAGATGACACCAGACACTAGCTTAACCTGTAATGTTCTAATTTATTTTTTAAAGATAATACATGATAACTTTTTAAAGTAACCTTTTAACAGAGAATTAGTGAGTAATCTGAATGTCATTTTTTCACTAGCATTTGTTCAACATGTTAAGGAAAGTATGCTAACTTAATAAAACCTTTTTTTCTTTTTTTCTTTACCTTCTTTTTTCTTTTTCTTTTTTTTTTTTTTTTAATTTTTTCTAAATACTATACTTGGGTGACCTGAAACTTAATAAAACTTAAAGAGGCAAATGAAAGATCTGCCGAGGGAATGCTGAGAGATGAAAGTATGTGTTGTCACACTTGCTGAAATTACATAAATGTGAATTTTAAACATGGATAGAAAATTTAGTGAGTGTTATACATATCAGGAAATTAGATTTGATGAAATATAAAATTTCCTGTACTTTTGTTTTATCTTAAGACTTACAGTCTTAAGAATGTTAACACTCTTGGGCATAATTCCCTTTTGGAAAGGAAACACATTATATCTAACATAGAAACAAAAATACATTTGAAATTGAATTATCTTGTCTGTCGTGTATTCCAGTGAAGGTCAAGGCATAGTGGACAGCTAGCCTGCACCATAAGGTCATATATGGTTGAGAGGTTGTAAACCAGGACAGTGGATCAGAATTACCTGGGAATTTGGTAAGAGTGCGTGTGACAGTCCTGTGCTGATCTCGGGAGGCTCTGATTCAGTAGGTCCGGAGTGAAGCTTGTGGTTTATTCTCGGATAACTGCATCAAGAGCTACCAATTAAGATAATAAAGGCAACAGTAGTCCTGAAAGCTGCAGTAAGAATCCATAGGAAAGTGGATAGAGGAAGTAAGCCAGATAGTTTTATGAGGTGAGGATGGAAATCACTAGCCCTGCGTTATGGCATTATGCACCAGGCCAGAGAGGGCAAGCAAAGGAAAGAGAGGAACATGTACCAATTAGGCAAAAGAGCCAGCAGTTTTCTCATTTTCCGATTTATTCGAGTGACCTTGTGAAATAAGAATCAGCTTCAGGTCAAATCTGCACTTTGTTACTGGCCAATGCACTGAGAGTAGAATCACTTGTGGCTATGAAGAGCCCTCCCTGATGGGGATTAACTTGTGGTTCTTTTTCTTAGGGATAAAGTAGCCGTTCTTCAGGCACTTGCATCCACAGTAAACAGGGTAAGTAGAATTTTATTTTTTTCAACCTAAAACTTGGCTAATACATTTTTTAACTTGACTAATAACACATTTAATGTTCGTACTTTATTATTCAGAATTAAACTGTTGTGGATATAGAAAGTTTCTTTAAAATTATCTAATCCAGCTGAGCCAGGTGGCTCATGAATGTAATTCCAACACTTTTGGAGGCCAAAGCAGGAAGATCACTTGATTTCAGGAGTTCAGGATCAGCCTGGGCAACATAATCTGTGTGTGTGTGTGTGGTTTTTTTGTTGTTGTTTTTTTTGTTTTTTGAGATGGAGTTTTGCTGTGTATCCCAGGCGGGAGTGCAGTGGCGTGATCTCAGCTCACTGCAACCTCCATCTCCTGGATCCCCATTCAAGCAATTCTCCTACCTCAGCCTCCCAAGTAGCTGGGATTACAGGCATGAGCCACCATGCCCAGCTAATTTTTGTATTTTTTAGTAGAAATGGGGTTTCACCATGTTGGCCAGTCTGGTCTTGAACTAACTAACCTTGTGATCTGCACGCCTGAGCCTCCCAAAGTGCTGGGATTACAGGTGTAAGCCACTGCACCTGGCCTTTTTTTTTTTTTTTTTTTTAGAACAAAATTATTGGCTGGGTACGTGGCTCACTCTGTAATCCCATCACTTTGGGAGGCCGAGGCAGGCTGATTGCTTGAGGTCAGGAGCTCAATACCAGCCTGTCGAACATGGCAAAATCCTGTCTCTACCAAAACAACAAAAACAAAAATTACGAGGCGTAGTGGCACATACCTGTAGTCCTACCTACTCAGGAGACTGAGATGAGAATCTCTTGAACCTGGAAGGCAGAGGTTGCAGTAAGCCAAGGTTGTGCCACTGCACTCCAGCCTGGGTGACAGAGTGAGATTCTGTCTCAAAAAAATAAAATTATCAAATCCCTTCATTTGGCAAATGAGGAAGCTGAGGTTTTGAAAATGGCCAGTAGCCGGTTAAGATGTTAAAACCTTAATTAAAGACTTAATTCCATGTCTTTGATCTCGAAATGCAGTGTTTTTCTACCATACCAATGATCTTTAATCCCTGAAAGAGCTTGTTGAAATGCATGCTCTTAGAGGATGATTTGGCTGTAGTATACCAACTTGGAGAAATAATGTACCTGTCACGCTGACAATCATGCAGTGATTAATAATCTGGGTCCTGGAGCCTAGTAGTTTAATAGCCAGGCAACTAGCTCTGTAATCTTAGGCAAATTATTTTACCTCTTGATGCTTCTGTTTCCTGATTTATGAAATGGGGGTTATAGTACCAAACCTCAAGTTTGCAGAGGGAATTATTAGCAAATGAATTAAGTATACATAAGACAGTTTAGGACAGAGTCTGGGACAAAGGAAATGCTCAGTACATGATATTTTATTACTGCTTCTGTTATATTGTTAATTTCATAAACATAAAATTTGCTCTGTTGACAGCTCAAGAATAGAGTTCGTAGTCTGTTAGATACACCAAAACTTTGGTAAATGCATCAGAAATGGAACTTCCTGCTTGGTATATTTTTCATTAACTGAAAACTTTAAATTTCATTTGTTGGGAAAAGTTTAAAACAGTTTTTTTTTTTGCCACAATATCTGTATGGATATTGACCCTTCTTAAGTCAATTATTCCTAACATACAGAATTGTTCTTCTGTTGATGTTACGACACTTAAAAATGAAATTACTAGGCCAGGTATAGTGGCTCATTCTGGTAATCTCAGCAGTTTGGGAGGTCAAGGCATATGGATCGTGTGAGCTTGGGACTTTGAGAATAGTCTAGGCAATGTGGTCAAACCCTGTCTCTACAAAAAAACACAAAAATAAGCTGAATGTGGTAGTGTGCATCTGTAGTCCCAGCTACTTGGGAGGCTGAGGTGAAGGTTGCAGTGAGCCAGGATCGTACCACTGTACTTAGAAAGAGACCCTGTCTCTGCCCCACCCCCCAAAAAATTAAATATAAAATAAAGATGGAACTACTAAAAAGATAGTGTTGGGTCAAATGTGCACTGGGACTTTACTACATCTCCCTACTTGCAAACCATTGAGATTTTCAGCAGCTTGCTTATCTGTAAATAGGCACCTGAAATGTAAACCATAGAGATGGACCTCTGAGATTATTCTCAGCATTTCAATGAGAATGGCCCAGGGCCACCTTCAAGTCAAATAAGTTGTAGAAATTATATATAGAATTGTGACTTAACTGGCCCTTAAAATCCAAGAGCTATTTATTTATCCATTAGAATTAGACACAGTTCTTGTGTAGTTCTAGAGAGGAAAACTGATAACAGCACTGAGAAGGGGTTATATCACCGAGACAGAGAAAGGAATTCTAAGCAGACATTTTAGAAAAGACAGCAATGTGGAGAATGGGAAACCTTTCCACTTGGAAATTTGGTAAAGATCTTATATCTAAAATCAAACCCCTTTCCCTCCAAACATTCCTCATACTTTTTTTTAATTTGAGATGAAGTCTCACTCTTTTGCCAGGATGCAGTGCGATGGCGCAGTCTTGGTTCACTGCAACCTCCGCCTCCCGGGTTTAAGCTATTCTGCCTCAGCCTCCCAAGTAGCTGGGACTACAGGTGCACGCCACCACACCCATCTAATTTTTTGTTTTAGTGGAGATAGGGTTTCACCATGTTGGCCAGGATGGTCTTGATCTCCTGACCTCGTGATCTGCTTGCCTTGGCCTCCCAAATTGCTGGGATTACAGGTGTGAGCCACTGCGCCCGGCCTCCTCATATATTTCTTTGCCATCTCATTAATGGCAACTACATTCTTCTAGCTGTTCAGGCCAAAATCCTGGGAATCATGTTAGTAAAGCCTTTGTTTATCCCTTCAAAGGATATGTGTGTGGGGTCTCCATGACCACTCCCAGGCTCAGTGATTTTCTAGCAAGATTCTCAGCTAAGAATTATGACAGCAAGAAGATACAAAGCAAATCAGCAAAGAGAAAAGGCTCACGGGATAAAGACCAAAAGAAACCAGTCACAAGCTTCCAGAAGACCTCTAGAAGAGTCACACAGGACATGCTTAATTCCTCCAGCAGTGTATTGTAACAACACATGCGAAGTGTCTACCAAAGCTTTTTAGAGACCCAGTGCCCAGAATGTTTATGGGAGGCTGGCCATGTATATATCCATATCCACTGACTGGCGTATATTATACCAATTTCCACACTCCCAGAGAAGAAAGCGGGTGTTTAGTACAAACCATGTTGTTTAAACAGGCACAGTAAGTCATTCTTAGCAGTTCTGGGAATGGTGGGAACACTTCCAATATCCATGTTCCCAGATGGCAGCCAAGGACCAGCCTTGGAAGCAGACCTTTCTAAAGATAGTAGTTTCAGGCCTATTAACTCTTTTCTGCATAATATCCAAATTCTAGACCCTTGGCATCACCTTGGTCATCGTCATCTTACTAGCCTGAATTAATTGCGGCAGGCTCTGTCCTCTCCTACTTCAGCTCCCTACAAACTGCTCTCAGTTCAGCAGCTGTAGTGACCCTGGATCACATCACTCTTAAGAATTCAACATTTACTTTCCATTAGTATAATTTGAATAAAAACAAGTTCACAACAGGGTCCCTAAGGTGAGGCTCAAGGGAAAGAGCTTTTTGAAAGGGGTAGCAGAAAGCTAGGTCGACACTAAAATGAAATACTTCCAGGTATGAGCAGCTTTCCCTTGAGGCTGCAGGGAAGCTTCCCTGCCCCCTCCCTGAGGAGTCCATGTCAGTGAGACAGGGCTTTAAGGATATAGGATACATTTTTACTTTGGAACAAAGGCCCAAGTAAGGCACTCACAGAGGAGAATAATAGAGAAAGCAATTCTGGGGCATTTCTCAGTGGGACGCCGGCTAGTATCGGAGAGTTGATTATGCTTAGGTTTAGAGAGCAATTTTAATGGGTACCAGGACTTGGGGAGAAACTGCTGCTGTTCACACCTCCTGAGAGGGCTCCGTGGTGTCCTCCATTTGGAGGAGGGACTCTTGGTGAAGTTGATCATGGGTAGATAGTGACATTGCTTTGTAGGAAATCCTATTCTGGGATTCTGCTGTTAGGACTAGTTAATTCAGAGGATTTTTACCTAGAGTTTAAAACAGAAATAGTCCCCAGTGATAGCAAACTTAAATATTAAAATCAGCTATGGAGTAGGGGGCACAGCTTGAGCCATTGTTTGCCTTATGTAATTAAAGGCAAGTCTCGTAGAGCTGAGAGTACAGGGCAGGTGTTTGTCTTTTCTCTCTATATATACTTGTATATATCCACACACATGTGCATGTAGGTTATATACATAATTAAAACACAGAATTCTTTTTTTTTTTTTTTTGAGACGGAGTTTTCGCTCTTGTTACCCAGGCTGGAGTGCAATGGCACGATCTTGGCTCACTGCAACCTCCGCCTCCTGGGTTCAGGCAATTCTCCTGCCTCAGCCTCCTGAGTAGCTGGGATTACAGGCATGCGCCACCATGCCCAGCTAATTTTTTGTGTTTTTTTTTTTAGTAGAGACGGGGTTTCACCATGTTGACCAGGATGGTCTTGATCTCTGGACCTCGAAAACACAGAATTCTTAAAACTCACAAGGTCCTCTCAATAATTTAGCCAAAAAGACTTGTGGACTGGATGCAGTGGCTCCTGTCTATAATCCCAGCCCTTTGTAAGGCAGAGGTGAGAGAATTGTTTGAGGCCAGGAGTTTGAGACCAGCTTGGGTGACACAGCAAGATGCCCTTTCTACAAAAAAAGTTTTTGAATAGCCAGCTGTGGTAGCACATGAGGCTGAAGCCCAGGAGCTAAAAGTTGCAATAAGCGGTCTTTAAAATAAATACAGGAATTTTATTATGTCTTTTACACAGGATTCTACGGTTGTGTCTTATGTGTATCAAGATGATCCTTTCCTTATACCGACATCCTCTTTGGAATCTGTGAGTATTTTCATATATTTTTAGTATTTTATCTTGCTGGTTTGTGTACAACAGTATGTAAATAATTTATTTGTAAGAACCTGTGAAAGGTTTACAAATTCTGATAAATAGACTTTGTGTATCCTTTACTACTTTTTTCAAAAAGATGTACACATCATTGATGCGGAGAGGATTTTTGGTTTTGGTTTTTAATACTTCAGACTTTTTTACACTGGAGTGACCTACTCAGCTTAAATGGCTTGCTTTTTATATGCTTCAAGCTATGCATAAGATGCTAACTGAAATTGTAACACAGTAGAAACGCAAGGATATTCTATAATTTCTAATTGGGATTCCGTGTGTTGTTGCATTTTTTTTGTGAGGGGAGAAAAATTCTTGCTGAGAGTGTAACTGTAATCTTGCTTGTGTCTAAATTACATGTATCTAAATATTTTTCTTTATATAGCGTTCATTTTTACTGGCAAAGAAGTCTGGAGAGAATGCAGCCAAGTTTATTATTAATTCATACCCCAAATATTTTCAGAAGGACATGGCTGAACCTCATATACCGGTAAGGAGAGGTAGTTATATTATTTACATGATACTATTTTAAATGTAAACTAAACCAGGCTTTCATGGCTAATATTTAAGAAGCCATTTGAATATTCAATATTTGGTTGATAAGCCTTTTAAAGTGTGGAGTTAGCTTTGATCACAAGACTAACCTTTTAAAATTCTTTTTGTATTTATTTGCTCTTCATCTTAATATTTTCCCCATTTGATTTTTGTGACACCATGCTCTTAGATCTTTCTTTGATGTTTCTTTTCAGTTTCTTTCACTACCTGCCTCTTCACATGTTTTTCTTTTTTCTTTTTAATTGATACAAGGCATCATGCTGTCACCCAGGCTGGAGTGCAGTGGTGCAGTCATAGCTCACAGCAGCCTGGAACCCCTGAGCTCAAGTGATCTTGCCTCAGCCTCACAAGTAGCCGGGATTACAGTTGTGTGCCACTATGCCTAGCCAATTTTTTTTTTTTTTTTTTTAATTTTTAGTTTTTGTAGAGAGCAGGGTCTCGTCTCACTGTACTGCCTGGGCTGGTCTCAAATTTCTGGGCTCAAGTGAACATTCCTCCTTGGCCTCTGAAATCTCTGGGATTGCAGGTGTAAGCCAACTCCTGCTTGCCCTTGATCCACTTTTTTTTTTTTTTTTTTCCTTTTTTTGAGATCGAGTCTCGCTCTGTCACCCAGGCTAAGTGTGGTGGTGCAATCTCAGCTCACTGCAACCTCCGCTTCCCAGGTTCAAGCCATTCATCTGTGTTAGCCTTTTAAACAGCTGGAATTATAGGCACCCACCAACACACCAAGCTGATTTTTGCATTTTTAGTAGAGACTGAGTTTCACAATGTTGGCCAGGCTGGTTTCAAACTCCTGACCTAAGTGATCCACCCGACTCAGCCTCCCAAAGTACTAGGATTACAGGCATGAGCCACTGTGTCCGACATTGATCCATTTCCTCAGCATGGGTATCTTTCTTAGATTTTTATGCTCATTTTTAAAATTGTGTACACTTTTCTGTTTCAATAACCCTTATAATCCATTTGGCATTCTTGTATATCTAGCCTACATCCCTGTACTTTGAACTCCACATTGTATTTCCAGCTCCCTCTTTGTTCCGTAGTCATGGAATGAGGATTTATGCATTGTGGTGGATATTGTGCTTAGTACTTGTCAGTATAGTGGTGAGCAAAACAGATGCGCCTCTGCCCTCCTGAATTTGTTGGTGGAAGTACTTATTTACCTCAGACTCTTTATCTAAACTACTCCCGTCCCTCCACGTCTCCCTGCTTCCTAAAGTTCACAGGGAAGCACACACTTCTCATTTTCTTAGTAGAGCTTGTAGATAGATGAGGAAGCCAGTGCAATTGTGTAGGCCAAAATACTAAAATTCTGAATTAAGACAGTGGTAGTGCTAGAATAATCATTTGTTGGTTATCTGCTTTATCCATTAGATTGTGAGCTCCCTGAAGGTAGAGAATGCCTTTCGTCTTTGTATCGACAGTGCCGAACTTAATGTCTGGGGACAAGTAGCAGGCATTCAGAAAGTATTTGAATAAATTAGTGAATGAGGTAAAATCAGCATACCTTAGTATGCTGATAGGTAGTATTTATTAAACACCTAGAGGATATACAGCATTAGAGATGAAAGGTGTAGTTCAGTTCCCTATAAAGACAATCATTAAAGTGATAAATAGTTTCTGGTTTGGGAAACATGAATTGGAGCAGTGAAGTTTTACTTTGGTGTGTTGGTGATAAAATTTTGTTCTCAGTTATCCTTTTCCTCACCTTTACCTGTTTGTAGTAACTTTAGTCATCTTGTTTTCCTAGTGTTTAATGCCTGAGTACTTTGAGCCTCAGATTGAAGATATAAGTGAAGATGCCCTGAAGGAACGAATCAAGCTCAGAAAAGTCAAAGCCTCTGTGGACATATTTGATCAGCTTTTGCAAGCAGGTGACTGAGTTCAATTAAAGCCCCTCTAAGCATATACGCTTTGAAGTGGGCCCAGTTATGTGATTCAGATATTTTAAGTAAAAGTTACAGGTCCTGCTATACTTACTCTGCTTTGATGGCCACATGCTTTAGATTTTTAATAGTTTAAGTATTTTAGTTTTAGCTTTATGTTATTTAAGAATTATAGGTGAGGAGACAAAAAAACAAAACAAAAAAAAGAATTATAGGTGAGATAGAATTGCAGCTTTCTTCGTTTATTGTAGCACTGGTAGAGAAATGGTATCACTCTTGTACCTTAGCTTCTGTTTTTAACATTAGGTAGGTACAGTGCTCCCAGAGTTTCTGTACTGTTTAAGAATGTTTGGAAGGCTGGGCCACAATACACAAGAAAGAAATATGTATAATGGAAAGCACATTCAACTGGGATCAGGGGCTTTGATGCTGGTGCTGTGTCACTAATTTTTCATAGCATTCAAAAAGTTACTTCTCAGAGCTTCTAGCTCTAAAATTGTGTGGTTCTGGTTTGGAGCTGAATGTAAACTTCCAGGAGTACATATATAGATAGCACAGCTGATCAGTCACCGTGAAAATGTACATATAGCATTATCAGAAGCAGCTGGCATTCAGTAGTTAGAACCTAGAGTTCTGTTTTGTGATTTAGGATTAACATGGAAACTGGACTGAATCATTATACATTTGAACACAAAAAACATTAGCAGAAAGCTGTGTTTGAGAATTTTGGTGTGTAGGTTAGTACAGCATCAGATGTATAGCTGAGTGACAGCATTAGATTATAATTTAGTGAGGCGCTTCTCTCTGCTTGTTAATGTGGTCGACATCTGCATGTGAGTCTGCATTAAAGTTCTTAGTGCTAAGGCTTATCTTTTTCTAGTTTTACCCCCTGTTGGGTAGGTGTGTATAGTCCTTCAGTAAAGACACATGTCAGACCCATAGCTCAGTAACAAAGTGAGCTAACACACCAGGGAAAGGATCCTAGAAAATTTCATTGTCAGGCCCCTAATCTAGCCATCTCACATACTTAATTCTGTAATACGTTATTTGTTGGTGTGTGTTACAGTAATCTTATGAAAGAGACTATTAGATATTTTTTCCAGGGTCTCATAGTTCTGAGATGGTATGAACCAGTTGCTTCTCCGTAGCCTGTACCTTCTTCACTCTGCCCTGCTTTCTATTCTGGGCTTTTAAATTTTCCGATGGGCATTTTAAATTTATCAGTGTATTTTGTTTAGAAGGATGCATTTACTCGTTGAGCATGGTGGCACACACCTGTAATCCTAGACTTTGGGAGGCCAAAACAGGAGGATTGTTTGAGCCCAGGAGTTCAAGACCAAGCTGGGCAACATAGTGAGAACTCATCTCTACAACAAATTTAAAAATTAGTTAGGCTAGTGGCACGTACCTATAGTTGCAGCTGCTGAGGAGGCTAAGGTGGGAGGATCACTTGAGTCCAGGAGTTCTATACAGTAGTAAGCTATGATCATGTCCTTGTACTCCAGCCTGGGCGACAGAATGAGACCCTGTCTCAAAACAAAATCAAAAACAAGAGATGCATTTTTGGGCAAAATGGGCTGTTTTTCTTTTAAAATAGCCCATTATGTTTCATACTTCTCTTCCTCTTATTCCCCTTTTACCCTTTTTAATGAGTCTCAAGATGGGGGCATAATGTTTTGAACAATTTTTAAAAGACTACTATAGTTAGACAGTTGTATTTCCAGGAAAGTTTTTAGTGAGTATCTGGATCCGAATGGAATAATTCTACTTGTATTTGTTCAAATGGACCTGGGCTGGGGGAACTAAGTGGGGCTGGTTTGCAGAGTATTGAGTTTGGAGATGATAATTAAAACCATGAAGTAGTTTGACTGTAGTGAGTACACAAAATAAGTGAGCACAGGCTCAAACTTCAACTTGTGTTTTAATCCTTTCTGTCACATTATGTGGTTAATAGGGGTTATGTCCCTGTCTGCATCACTCCAGGTATTTTAAGTTGATGTTGAGTACGTAAAGTAGTGGGCAACATTATGTAGCCAAGACCACAGCTAATAGAAAAAAATGAGGCATTTTAACCTAACAGGCTTAGTTCTTCAGTGTTTCAGGGTTTCTTTCCTTTTCTCTCTCTTACCCACAGGAACCACTGTGTCTCTTGAAACAACAAATAGTCTCTTGGATTTATTGTGTTACTATGGTGACCAGGAGCCCACAACTGATTATCATTTTCAACAAACTGAACAGTCAGAAGAATTGGTAATAACTATTGGCCTTGATTTTTTTTTTCTCTTAAGTTTCTTTTTGAGGAAATTCCTTTTAAAAATAAGATGGGTTCTTGTGTCATGTGTCAGGGTAGTAGTAAGAGATTTGTACTGAGACGTGTGGTACGATAACCTTGATAAAAAGTGGTGCAGGAGGAGGAGAGATTTTAAACAGTTCTGTCCTAGTTTACTTCTTAACAATATGTTGTCCTCGCCTACTTCATATTGAGGCAAAGCTTTGATCAGAAACGTTTGGGATCGCTTGTGTCACTTAGAGTAATAACATGATGTGTTCTGGCCAGGGAAAAACACTCCATGGCTGGGCCTCCTCAAAGTTCATACATGGACAGAGAGGAGAGAGCACACTAGGCTGGGGACGGAACAGGAGTGTGCCGTGGGCCGCCTGTAGGTTGAATCATAGCCTTTTTCTCGACTCAAGAATTTTACTTCTAGAACTAGGTCTGAAGAAATCCTTTGGATCAGTCAAATAGAGATGCCGATAAGACGTTTTTTGTAAGGGGGTATTTATACTTACAAAAATGTTGAAAACAATCTAGATGTCCAGCAGTAGATGATCAAATTATGATAAAAGTTGTGTGGTCATTGAGCACATTAGAGTAGATGTGTTTGGGCATGGAAAGATTCATCTGATAAGTGGAAAACAGGCTCTCAGCAGTGTATATTCCATTTTTGTAAAAATGTTTTTACAAATGCATAAGAAAAAAATCATGATGGAATAATTGGTGTTTTTCTTTGTTTCTTTCTTTGCTCTTTGACCGACTAAATTCTGTCTTTGCTCTTTGACCGACTAAATGTGGATTTCTTTTTTTTTTTTTTTTTGAGATGGAGTTTCACTCTTGTTACCCAGGCTGGAGTGCAATGGCACAATCTCAGCTCACCGCAACCTCCGCCTCCTAGGTTCAGGCAATTCTCCTGCGTCAGCCTCCTGAGTAGCTGGGATTACAGGCACGCGCCACCATGCCCAGCTGATTTTTTTGTATTTTTAGTAGAGACAGGGTTTCACCATGTTGACCAGGATGGTCTCGATCTCTTGACCTCGTGATCCACCCGCCTCGGCCTCCCAAAGCTGGGATTACAGGCGTGAGCCACCGCGCCCGGCCTAAATGTGGATTTCTTTTTTTCCCCCTTCAGAGATAGCATCTCGCTGTGTCACCCAGGGTGCAGTGCAGTGATGCTCTCATAGCTTACTGCAGCCTTTAACTCCTGGGCTCAAATGTTCCTCCTTCCTCATTCTCCCAAGTAACTGGGACCACAAGTGTGTGCCGCCATGCTTGGCTAGCTTTTTTTTTGGGTGGAGTTGGTGGGTAGACATAGGATCTTGCTATATTGCCCAGGATGGTCTTGAACTCTGGGGCTCAAGTGATCCTTCAGCCTCCCAAAGTTTTGGGATTACTGGCCACTGCACCTGGCCAAATGTGATTATTTATGTAGAGAACCTTACATTTTTTTAAGTGCATAGGCAGTAGGTTGCAGTTACACCTTGCTTTCCAAAGCATCACTTCCTGAAGCCCGCTCTGGTTGGCCTCTGCCTCTCCAGCCCCAGCTCTTGAGGCAGCAGGCATTGCTGATCTCTGCAATGCCATTCAAGCCCATCTTGCTCTACGTCAGCCTCATCCCAGACCTTGGTTTATAAATAAAGGATGAGATTTAGTCTTTTAAGAAGCCTTAGGTTACTTGGGTGAGTGTTAGACATTAACTATATGTTGTTTATCTTGCTTTCACCCTGACAGTTTATCTGTATGGATCAAGCCAGATGTAGTCTCTGAGGAAATAGGCTGTCTCGTTTGGTTTTCCTCCTTCTTTCTGAGGACCAGGCTATATAGGAAACTGGCCTCATCATGTCTTTAGGCTGTCACTTGTTGCTTAAAAAGTCAATTTGTCGGCCGGGCGCGGTGGCTCAAACCTGTAATCCCAGCACTTTGGGAGGCCGAGGCGGGTGGATCACGAGGTCAAGAGATCGAGACCATCCTGGTCAACATGGTGAAACGCCGTCTCTACTAAAAATACAAAAAAATCAGCTGGGCATGGTGGCAAGTGCCTGTAATCCCAGCTACTCAGGAGGCTGAGGCAGGAGAATTGCCTGAACCCAGGAGGCGGAGGTTGCAGTGAGCCGAGATCGCGCCATTGCACTCCAGCCTGGGTAACAAGAGCGAAACTCCGTCTCAAAAAAAAAAAAAAAAAAAAAAAAAGTCAATTTGTCTTTTCATCTGTGGATTCACTGAGTTGCACTTAAGAAGAACTGCATAGGCGTAAGCATTTCTGGGTGTCCTCTTTGCCTTCTGCTAGATCTGTGTTGCCTTTTTTTTCTGAGTTACCTTTGCCTTTCTGATTTTGAGTAGTCTGACTGGGAAATACATTCCATTGCCTTAACTTTTATTTCTCTGACAATTATTCATTTCAGGAAGAGGAAAATAATGAGAAATCTCGGAAGAAAGGTGGTCATCAGTTTGGAGTTACATGGCGGTATGTCACACATAATTAGAACCTTGAATTACAGTTTCTTATGGTGCATGGAATATGCCCCATCACCCCTTGAAGATGTTATCTTATGATGTTCTAAAATAATTGATTTTTATTGTGCAATATAAGTTTCACTCTTTGTATTTATATACATTTAGGCCTTTTTTCAGTAAGGTCTTTATCTCCATTCAGCAACACAAGAATCTGTTGGGAGGTTGGCCCTTGTTTTTTTCCTCATCTATTTAACTCAGCATGACTTTGACATGGTATAGTTCTTTGGTAGTTTCATTAATAGTGCTACCTTGGAATATATACCTCTAATTCTGAAAGATTTAATATTTTTGTTTACAAACAATACCTAGGCAGTAGAGTGTACTGCTAAATTAAGACCACTGACCAACATGTAGAAATAAATATACAGCAGTTTGAACGAAAGGTGATATAACCTAATTATATTGGAGAATTTAAGTTAACTGGGTGTCTAAAAGGAAGATATTTCATGTGGATGTTTGGAGAGGGAAGCTATCATGATTATCTAAAACTGTTATTGAAGTGATAAATTTAATAGAATGAAAGATTAAATTCATTGGGCTAGGCCGGGCGCAATGCCTTGTACCTGTAATCCTGGCACCATGGGAGGCTGAGGCAGGTGGATCACTTGAGATCAGGAGTTCTAGACCAGCCTGGCCAACATAGTGAAACCCCATCTCTACTAAAAATATTAGCCAGATGTGATTGCACATGTGTGTAATCCCAGCTACTTGAGAGGTGGAGGCAGGAGAATCACTTAAACCCGGGAGGCAGAGGTTGCAGTGAGCCAATATTGCACCACTGTTCTCCAGCCTGGGTGACAGAACAAGACTTTGTTTATTAAAAAAAAAAAAAAAAGAATTCTTGGGGTAGAGTTTAATACTTTTGCATAGTGGTTGTGAGCATAGACTTAGGAGTAGGATCTTGGCTCAAATCTTGTTTCTGTCTGATTTCCACAAATAGTTAAGAGGAGAATCAAGGTACAGGATAGTTTGTTTAACAGGTTACCATTTACTTATTTATGGAATGTGAGAAGAGATGAAGATAGAATGTGACAGGAAGGATCCAAAAGAAACCATTGTCAGTGGTTGCCTCTGGGGAGTAGTATCTGAAGACTGAAGAAGGGTGGGGAAACTTTACTAGGGACTTTGTCATATAGTTGCTTCTTGTTTTCGATACCATGGATATTTATATACTTGCTTATAAACATTTCATTTTCAATTTTAATTCTGCCACTTACCTGCAAAGCCCTGACAACACATTAAGGTTTTTAAGCTTTGATTTTCCTCATTTTCAAAATGATGATAAACATAACTTGCCATAAGAATTGAGATGATGTATGTAAAGTACTTGGCACCTTGCTTGGAACATGATAAACCGTCGGTAAATTGTGGTAGCTCTCATTGGTATCCTGTTGCCCTGATTCACATTTACTCTCTTGTGCCTAGAGCAGAAAACAACGCTGAGAGAATCTTTTCTCTAATGCCGGAGAAAAATGCACATTCCTATTGCACAATGATCCGAGGAATGGTGAAGGTACATTTTTAAAATTTATTTTTATCTTGAATTTCCACCCATTAGGGTGTTTCAGCCTCTGAACCACTAACATTTTGGGTCAGATAATTTGTTGTTGGGGCTGTCCTGTGCATTGTAGGATATTAGTAGCTCCCTGGCTTCTACCCACCCTTCTCCCCCACCTTTAGTTTTTACAAATAAAAATATGTTCAGGCATTGCCAGTGGGTAGAAAACCACTAAAATAGAGTATGAGCTTCATGAGAACAGGAGCCCGATCTATTGTGTTTACAGCTCTATTACCAAACTCTAGGACAGAAATGTGCAAGGACATTTGAAATAAATGAATTTGATGATGCTTAATTTTTTGTTTTCCTTTTCCAGCACCGGGCTTATGAGCAGGCATTAAACTTGTACACTGAGTTACTAAACAACAGACTCCATGGTGAGTTTGAGAACTCCCCTCCCTCCCTTTCTCCATTCCATTCCTTCTCTTAATTGTCTGTGTGAAGGCTTTGGATCTTGCCTCAGTCATTGGCCTACACTTTGTCTTTTCCTGTGGCATAGGTGATTAAAGCAAGAATGGAGATCCAGAGAGGAGAGTGGTTTTCCAGTTTTGTGGACATGTGATTAGCCAAGGGACACATAGGAATGAACACTTTGCCTTAAACTCAGCCATTTAGGGATTAATCTCCAGCCCCAAATTTTATCATTTTATTCTTTTACAGCTGATGTATACACATTTAATGCAGTGATTGAAGCAACTGTATTGGTGATAAATGAGAAATTTGATGAAAAATGGCTTAATACCCTGGTAAGGAGGAATTCTCAGTTTATTTTTTAATAGGGCTTAAATACTCTACCAGAAATACATGGGCTGGCAAGGCGTGGTGGCTCAAGCCTATAATACCAGCACTTTGGGAGACAGAAGCGGGCATATCACCTGAGGCCAGGAGTTTGAGACCAGCCTGGCCAACATGGTGAAACCCTGTCTCTACTAAAAATACAAAAAATTAGCCGGGCATGGTGGTGTGTACCTATAATCCCAGCTAATTTGGAAGCTGTGGCAAGAGAATCAGTTGAATTGGGAGGCAGAGGTTGACATGAGCCAAGATACACTGCACTCCAGCCTGGGCAACAGAGCAAGACTTTGTCTCAAAAAAGAAAAAAATACAGGGGCTGGAGACAGCATTTATGAGCATGTGTATGGCAGTCTGTGTAGCAGTTACCTGTTCACCATCCTTCCCAAAGCCCTGTAACTCAGCTGTATCTGGCACATGAGAATAAAAAATTACTTGGCCCAGGGTATGCAGCTAGAATTCTGAACCACTTTAAGAATTCATTTATTTTTTGTAATAGTTTTTCTCTTACAAAGGAATGCATAAATGCATATTTGTTGTCAAATTCCTATCACATGTAAGTTCAAAAAGTTGAAATCACTGAATTGATTCTCATCTAGTAACTTAAGAATAGAAATGGCCAGGCGCGGTGGGTCATGCCTGTAATCCCAGCACTTTGGGAGGCCGAAGCTGGTGGATTACCTGAGATCAGGAGTTTGTGACCAGCTTGACTAACATGATGAAACCCTGACTCTACTAAAAATACAAAAGTTAGCCAGGCATTGTGGTACACTCCTGTAATTCCAGCTACTTGGGAGGCTGAGGCAGGAGAATCACTTGAACCTGGGAGGCAGGGGTTGCAGTGAGCCAAGATTGCACCACTATACTCCAGCCTGGGCAATAAGAAGGAAACTCCATCTCAAAAGGAATAGAAACATTTTTTTATGTCATATGAGTCTAGTATTTTTGAGTCTTTTCTTGGAAAACTCTCATGGGTAGAAGACTGAAAACAGTTGACCACCTTGATCAAGTGGGATGGATGTTTGAATTAGCGGGCTTCTTTGAAAGGCAGAATCATGGAACCTGCTAATTTACAAACAGTTCTTTTTTTTTTTTTTTTTTTTTTTTTGAGGCGGAGTTTCGCTCTTGCTGCCCAGGCTGGAGTGCAATGGCGCGATCTCGGCTCACCGCAACCTCCGCCTCCTGGGTTCACGCAATTCTCCTGCCTCAGCCTCCTGAGTAGCTGGGATTACAGGCACACGCCACCATGCCCAGCTAATTTTTAGTATTTTTAGTAGAGACGGGGTTTTACCATGTTGACCAGGATGGTCTCGATCTCTTGACCTCGTGATCCACCCGCCTCGGCCTCCCAAAGTGCTGGGATTACAGGCTTGAGCCACCACGCCCGGCCTACAAACAGTTCTTAAAATAGGGATGGAGTTGCTAACCTGCTTTAAACATAGCAAGAAAGCTAAATTCTTTTTTTTGTATGAAATGTAGGTTATTGGACAAATTACCCAGACATAAAACATAGTTGTTTTTTATTCAACTAGGAGCTGCTAAGACAAATGGTTGCACAGAAGGTGAAACCAAATCTACAGACTTTCAATACCATTCTGAAATGTCTCAGAAGATTTTATTTAACTGCAAGAGTACCAGCCTTACAGGTTTTACGTGAAATGAAAGCCATCGGAATAGGTGAGAATGTGTCCTTGAGTCCTCTGAAGACAGAGACTGTGCCAGCCAGAGGTTTCAGGACCACATAAACAAAGAAGATCTGTAAATTCTTCTGCTTACATAATATGATGGAAGTTTTATTTCCACATTTGGCACATTTAATTATATGTACTTATGGTGGAAGGGCCTTTATCATCTTAATGTTTATTAGTATTTTAGGTACTTTGTTTATGGATCTTTTGAATCTGAGGAGAATTGATTGCTTTGAATTAGCTAGTTTTAAATTCATAACATTTTTCTGGCATAATTAGATATTTGAACCTAAGTGTGCTAGTACCTTGTATACTTTTCATTAATTACTTTATTGAAAGTTGCTTTGGGAATCAGTTTAACTTAATATATTTTACTGTTCTGAATGAAGAATGTGACTGATAAGTATTTGGACTTTCAAAAAGTGATACAGTCTTTATGATAGTTTTTCACCTTTACATTAGTGAGTTGGAAAATAAATTTGTTCGAAGGAATAGAAATGTATCTTTTGCTTAAATATTAGCATTAGCATGTTTTTAATTCAGTGTGTCTCAGTAAGCTATATTTTGGATTGCTTGTTTTTACCTCATTCTTTATTTTTTCTATCCACCTGGTAATTTGAGAACCCTCGCTTGCGACGTATCACCATATTATTCAGCTGTTTTACCACCCTGGTATGTATGGCCCTAGATTGTGTTAATTTATATAGAAAATTGACCAGTTGTCTTAAATCCATGTGATTGTTGCAGGTTGTCTTCTCTGCACATGAATTAAGAAAAGAGAATTTGTAAATTAACCTCTACAGCCTAATAAATTATGTTGTCACATTAGTATTCAGTAGCCATGTATCTAGTGGCTACCATGTTTAGTGTAAGTTTGGAACATTTCTTTTTTTTTTTTTTTTTTTGAGACGGAGTTTCGCTCTTGTTACCCAGGCTGGAGTGCAATGGCGCGATCTCGGCTCACCGCAACCTCCGCCTCCTGGGTTCAGGCAATTCTCCTGCCTCAGCCTCCGGTGTAGCTGGGATTACAGGCACGCGCCACCACGCCCAGCTAATTTTTTGTATATTTTAGTAGAGACGGGGTTTCACCATATTGACCAGGGTGGGCTCAATCTCTTGACCTCGTGATCCACCCACCTCGGCCTCCCAAAGTGCTGGGACTACAGGCTTGAGCCACCGCGCCCAGCGGTTCAGAACATTTCTGTCTTTGCTGAAAGTTCGTGAACATTGCTGCTCCAGAGGAAAGATAAGATTGTGAAGCCTTTTGGGAGAACCTCGAGTGTTCATTCGTTGTCAACTTTTAGGTCGATCAGTTTGAGTTGGAGCTCTGCTCTGTAGATGGACTCTGGAGAGAGGCACACCTGAGCTGAGATCTCAGCTCTACCTTTTATTTACCAGTTATTTCAAAGCGGCTGGATACCTACCTGAGGAATAGCATCAGGGTGTGCTAGTTAAATGAATTCCACACCGTGTCTGCTACCGTGCTTGGAAGGCACATGCTAGGCACTCAGAATCTTTTGGTTCTTCTCCATTTATTCTCAGCCTATGAAATAACCCTTGGGTTCAAAATTGTCGGTTCTAGTCATTCTTTCTTGTGATAGACCAGGCATCCCCAGACTTTTTACGCAGGGGGCCAGTTCACTGTCCCTCAGACCGTTGGAGGGCCGCCACATACTGTGCTCCTCTCACTGACCACCAACGAAAGAGGTGCCCCTTCCTGAAGTGCAGCGGAGGGCCGGATAAATGGCCTCAGGGGGCCGCAGTTTGGGGATGTCTGTGATAGATGGTAAAAATTACAGAAGGAAACTTGATTCTCTCTAGTTTGAAGGACTAATTTTGTAAAATCCGTATCCTCACCTATAGAGGCAAGTTTTATCTTTAGGAAAAGGAACCAAACAGTTAATTTACTGTACCGTGGAAACAGATAAACAGTTTCCATAATTGTGTCCCCCAAAATTTCACTCAACCTTGGTGAAATATTCCTTTCCTCTATAACTGTCATCACTGGTTCAATTGCTAATCAAAGTCAGATGTACTTACATTTCCTAAGTAACAGCCAGGGCTAGGGGAAAGGGGTTCTGGGGGAGCTGTGTTGGTTTGTCTTAGGTATATAAATGGGCTGTTTGCAATAATAATTTTGGCTTACACCTATAATCTCAGCAATTTGGGAAGCCGAGACAGGATGATTGCTTGAGCCCAGGAGTTTGAAACCAGCCTAGATAACATAAAGAGACCCCCATGTCTACTAAACTTGGAAAAAAATTAGCTGGCCATAGTGGTGCACACTTGTAGTCCCAGCTCCTCAGGAGGGTGAGGCAGGAGGATTGCCTGTGGCCAGGAGGTTGAAACTGCAGTGAGCTGTGTTTGCCCCACTGCACTTCAGCCTAGGTGACAGAGCGAGACCCTGTCTCAGTAATAATATTTTTAGGAATTTACCCAAAGGAGAGAGTCTAAAATAACAAAGAAACAATATATTAAAAAGAGAATATTATATAACTAATAAAATTAAGAATGTTAGCAAAGGGAAATATGCTTGAGGAAATTGTGAAACTCTTCTCTATACTGTCATTACAACTCTACTACCACTTATATACAGAACGGGTAGGGAAAGGAATGTAGAGAAGTATTTGGGAATACTGTATTGTAGATGATTTTCTGATCTGTTAGTGCTCAGTTCATGTTATTTTCAAGGATTGCCCTATCCATTAATTCTAGTTTACTTTTTCTTGACCTCATTCTCATTGTATTTAAAAGGAACGCAAATGATTACTAGAAGAAAACATTTTTGGCCGGGCATGGTGGCTCACATCTATAGTCCCAGCACCTTGGGAGGCCAAGGCGGGTGGATCACGAGGTCAGGAGTTCAACATCAGCCCAACCAACATGGAGAAACCCTGTCTCTACTAAAATTACAAAAAATTAGCCAGGCATGGTGGTAGGCACCTGTAGTCCCAGCTGTTCGGGAGGCTAAAGCAGGAGAATCACTGGAACCTGGAAGGCAGAGGTTGCAGTGAGCCAAGATTGTGCCATTGCACTCCAGCCCGGGTGACAGTACGAGACTCTGTCTCAAAAACAAAACAAAACTTTGTTTGTTTGCTTGTTTTTCTAAGTATGCTGGTTTGGAGAGGGAGTGTGTGTTACTATGTGCCTCCCACTCCAGTAGGTCAAGCTTCATGTGAAGAGACTAAAGGAAGGGGAAAGTCTCAGTAGAGCACATGGACAGAGACCTGTGATTATTCCAGATTTTACAAAGAACTCTCTGCAGGATGCAGTGGTTCCTTTACAAGCATTGGCCTCCCGCCAGCTCTATGCCAGGACTTAGGCTGGAGGTGGAGGAAGGAGAAATGTGTCCCTTTGTACTAGGTACTCTGAGTTTGGTGGTGGTAAAGGAAGGGGATTAAACACATTTGCTTTCTTGTTCTGCAGGAAACGCTTCAAAGGGATCATCTTTCATCATCTATGATATAATGAATGAATTAATGGGAAAGAAATTTTCTCCAAATGACCTGGATGATGGTATGTACAGAAATCACTTTAGTTTCCTCCTCTAAAGATAGGGCTGGTTTCCCTGAGTGCCATTTAGAGGCCTTGTAATCCCTGTAGCTTAGTAGTATTTTTTTTCTATGTTATTTTTAAATAAATGTGAGTAATAGGTGTATATAGCTTAGTAATATTTGTGGTGTGTTTTCTGAGAAAGCCAAAATGTCAATGGCACATTCCTGCCTCTCTTAAGTTTTTACATTCTCAGCTTTATCTTATATGTTACCAGTTTTGTTGGCAGGATTTTTGTTACTGTTACTGACTTGAAAATACATTTTATCCATCGTAACCAAAGCTCTTGTGAATTTTGATTTTCAGATAAGTTTTTTCATTCAGCCATGAGAGTAGTAAGTATCATTTCTTTCTTAATTCGCTATCCATTTCCTAAATTTATCTGTAATTGGAGGGTTCTCCTGGTTCTTTTCACTTTCTGATTCTTAACTTCTGTCATGTCTTTGCTTCTGGTTTTCTTCTTTCCCTAAAATCTCTCTATAATTTTGAGATGGAGGTTCGCTGTGTCACCCAGGCTAGAGGGCAGTGGCTTGCTGCAACCTCTGTCTCCTGGGTTCAAGTGATTCTTCTGCCTCAGCCTCCCGAGTAGCTGGGACTACAGGTGTGTGCCACCACAGCTGGCTAATTTTTGTATTTTTTTGGTAGACATGGAGTTTCATCATGTTGGTCAGGCTGGTCTTGAACTCCTGACCACCTCCCAAAGTGCTGGGATTGCAGGCATAAGCCACTGCACCTGGCCTAAAATCTGTACTTTTCAACTATATAGTATCCCTACCCTGTGTTTATTGTTGACATTGACATTTTTTCATACTCCTGAACAGATAAGCTTCCATAATATTTCAGATTTGCCTATTAGTAAGTTAAAATTGATAATGGTTTTTATTTTGGTTTATTTAATCATGCTTATCATAGGAAAAATTTCAGTCAGTTTTAGAATGACCCCTGTTCCCTAAGGGTAATTTAATTTGCTTTACTATTAGGTTGGTGCAAAGGTAATTCAGCTTTTGCCATTACTGTCAATGATAAAAACCACAGTTACTTTTCTAAAGTTATAATTGCTAAATCAAAATAATATTGTAATAAATTTCACAGACCTTGGGATTTGTCTCCCCCACCCCATTTCTTATAACTTATTTGCCGTCAACCAATAATATGTTGAAACAACATTAAGTATTTTCACAAGATTCTCTACTGTTTTTCTTCATTTAATAAACCACTGGCTGATAGGATATCAGAGTGATACTTACTACTTGCAAATTTTCAGTGCTCATCTCTCAGAGATCTAGAACTTGCCTACCAAATACATGACCTTTTAAATACCGGAGACAACCGGAAATTCATTGGACATGATCATTGGCGTGATTTCTATTAGTAAGTGTGTTGGAAATGTATCCTTTTGCATGAGTTATTAGATTCTGCAAGTGGAAGGCTATTGATGTTCCCTCATACCTCGCCTCTGTTTTCAGGCAGTATGCCAATGATCTAATAGGACAGGTTAGTTGAGCCCTTAGGAATTAAAGCAGTGGTAAAACGGTCAGATTTGGAAGTCTAGTTTGTGTCCTTTGAGGTTTTTTGTTTTTTTGGCAACACTTTAAAATCCACGTATCTTTTTCCTCTACCGGCTCTCATTTTACATTTTCAAATTGTTATAGCAGGGTGAACCCTGAAGATTTCCTGTCACCCCCTCCTTGCTTTTGTATTCAAAGATCAAGAGGAACCCAGAGATACTCCCTAAATGAATTTGCTTTTAGGCAGATAAGAACATGAATTTAAGAAGGCGACCTGTTAATAGGTGTGGGAGGATTGTCTTCTGTGCATCTCCATCCTTGTTTCACATTGAATATTTTAAAAATGAATTTGAAGTTCTGTATCCATTCACCATGACCTAAGAGTATACAGAGGAAGCATGTAGAAATGACCAGTTGAGGGTAAGAAGGTGTTCAGTTGGGAAGTTGAGCACATACTGGCAGGTCTCAAACCAAGTATTGGCTCATTAACTTGAAATTGTAAATACTTTGAAATTCTTTGTAATATATGCTGTAATTTTACTCATTATTTCCCCTGTTAGACATAGGGATTTTAGACTAAACATAATTTGCTCTTCATCACAGTTCCAGGTTCTTCAATTTGATTTGTCTAATGGAACAAATTGATGTCACCTTGAAGTGGTATGAGGACCTGATACCTTCAGTAAGATGGTTCATTACTTGTTATTTATCATTGTAGGTGAATTTGTGGGTTTCTGCAGATTAATGCTTTAAAAATGTGTTTCTCTTAATCAGGTCTTCTTTCCCCACTCCCAAACATTGATTGATCTCCTCCAAGCATTGGATGTAGCCAATCGGCTGGAAGTGATTCCTCAAATTTGGAAAGGTTAGTTTCACTTTTGATGTGTCCAGACACTTCTCACCTCAGTGCCGTCTATTTTGATTAATGAATGTGCTGACATTACCGTTAGGTATGAAAACTTCCATTCTGTACTGAATGTTTTAGCTGAGATCTACTTCAAGGTCACATGCTCATGTTGCATGTTGGCTGTCGGGAGAAAACTGTGTTGAAAATGACTTAAGTCAGTCCCTTCATGACATAGCAATGAGCTGAGTCTTGAGCACTGGTTGTGTGACATGACCCAAAGGAAATAAGTATTAATGACACGGCAGCCTAAATCCGAATAAAGGTCTTTGACCCAAAAGTCTGTGCAGTTCCTCTGTGCCAGTGTTGCATCGCTTTGCTAACCACAGTCATTGATGATTATGTTTCCAATAACCATGACCATCATGGGTGTGCGTGCTGCTCTGTCTTATGTGTATAAATTGGCTGCAAAATGAAATAGAAACTCTATATCTTCCACTAGGTGACTACTGTATTATAAAGTCAGGAGGCTCTAGTCCTGCCCTCCTGCTTCACAAGACTGCTCTAATTAGAGTAATAAAAGTACATAAAAAATTTCCAAGTGCTATAAAACAGCATCTTACCATGGAGCTGGTGGCTGCTCCCATGTAGTGCACATGCTGTGATTAATACTTCACTGGAACAAGGCCTAGGCATTGGCTTTTACGTTTATTCTACCGTGAATCCTGCTGGGTTTCTGGAATCCTGGGATAAGCCTAGAATAAAAGCAACTTGGCCAGGTGCACTGTCTCACACCAGTAATCCCAACACTTTGGGAGACCAAGGCGGGTGGATCATGAGGTCAGGAGTTCAAGACCAGTTTGGCCAACATGGTGAAACCCTGTTTTCTACTAAAAATACAAAAAATTAGCTGAGTGTGGTGGTGTGTGCCTGTAATCCCAGTCACTCAGGAGGCTGAGGCAGGAGAATCATATGAACCTGGAAGGCAGAGGTTGCAGTGAGCTGAGATTGTGCCATTGTGCCATTGTACTCCAGCCAGAGGGACAGTGCAAGACTCCCTCTCAAAAAAAAAAGAAAGGTGACAGTAAACAAGAGTGTGTTGGTTTTACATAACAATGATCACTCCGTGTTCCTTTCTTGTTTCAAGATAGTAAAGAATATGGTCACAGTTTCCGCAATGAACTGAGAGAAGAGATCCTGACACTCATGGCAAGGGATAAGCACCCGCCAGAGGTAGGCCTGAAACTCACTAGCAGGTATATCCTCCCATAATGAGGTCTTTTAAAGACTAGCTTCCCTGATTTCATCTGCCATTTTGGAGAGTTCTGCCACCCAAACCCATATTTGAGTGATGATACGTCTAAACATATCTTGCCTTTAGCAGAATACTGTTCTTAAAGTTACCCTCTTTACTGTAGTTCAAAGCAAGCAACGTGAAATTAAGTTCTGTCTTCAGCTTGTTGTTTTTTTTGTTTGTTTGTTTGTTTTTTTCTTTTTTTTTTGAGATGGAGTTTCGCTCTTGTTACCCAGGCTGGAGTGCAATGGCGCGATCTCGGCTCACCGCAACCTCCGCCTCCTGGGTTCAGGCAATTCTCCTGCCTCAGCCTCCTGAGTAGCTGGGATTACAGGCACGCGCCACCATGCCCAGCTAATTTTTTTTTTTGTATTTTTAGTAGAGACGGGGTTTCACCATGTTGACCAGGATGGTCTCGATCTCTCGACCTCGTGATCCACCTGCCTCGGCCTCCCAAAGTGCTGGGATTACAAGCTTGAGCCACCGCGCCCGGCCTCAGCTTGCTTTTTTAAAAAAAATCCATCTACAGAAGAAATGCATAGCTGAATTTGAAAGGTGTGGCTAATCAGAATATTTATTCAGGACAACAGGGTCCTTTTTTTTATTAAATTACTTGTGTGATATACACATAACATATTCAAATGGTAAAATGCATTGCTCAAATTTTAAGGGTCCTGTGGTAGTCTCCTGAACTGAAATTCTCATAAAATCAGTTAGGCAGTTCTGCTGACTCCTAAAGCTTCTTAGCTCCAGGTAGCTTTTGCTGACTGTGCTGCTGATATCAAATCTACATATGAAAGCCAACCTGTCAGACAGAATGCTCCGGATTGGCCAGCCGTCTCTCTCAACTGTATAGCTGTCCTCTTTTTAAGGGCTGGGAGAACCCAGGAAGCCTGGTGAGTACAGTACCCCGAGTATACACTTTGAAGCATTTGTATTTGGCTCTAAACATTGACCCATGCTGGTAGAGGTTGTCTCATTTGGTGGTATAACACGTATTTGATGGGAACATGCAAATACCAACCAAAAAGCAAACTTTTGCTTGCAATGTGCATGATGTATTTGAGAGAAGGCCTGATTTTCTCAATCCACAGGCTGAGAATATCTTTCCCTTTCTGCCTTCTGTGTCTGTGGACAAGTAAGTCCCTTAATCTCATACTCCACTTAAATGGACCAAAGATCAAAGAAACGTAGTTTTTGGAAGTGTTCTGGTCATTTGGGTTGTGAAAGTATTTTCAGATGCTTCTGCCATCACACTCTCCAGCTTAAAATGTGGGCTGCGTACTTAAGACTTCTGGAAGCTGGCATTACACACATTAACTAAACCTGGCCTTGACCACAACCCGTTCTTGGTTGGTGCCACTGTGTTCTGGTTATGTTTTTATCAGCACTTCATTCACTTACTAATTTTTAGTGTTTTTGAATGGGAACCTTACGCATATTCATTTTTCCAAAAATGAACAAAGGGATTTGTTGTAGGGGTAGTGACAGATGGTTTTCCTGTATTTTGTGTTGTATATAAATGTGTTCCCAGAGTCACAAGTGGGGGTGCTTGTGCATGGCTCCTTGTACAAGAAAGTAACTTTATTTGAACATCTGATTGTCAGCTATCTCCAGGAAAAGATAATGAAGGCTTGTCTTTGAGGTGCGGCTCACACACATGCCTCTCTAGCAACTATGCTGCAAGTGACAGACATTTGACGTTTGCATTTGGTTGTTAGCTCAGGCAGTTTGGCACACACACTGCCTTAATGTGACCAGGCTGTGATGATTGGCGCAGGGGTACGGACCTCAGCTGATTCATGGGAGCTGAGTGTATGTGTTTCTCCTTTGTCCTGCATGTGGCAGGCTGATGGGGAGCACTTACATGAGACTGTTGCCTCAATCTGAGCCTGCTCTTCATAACAGAATTCTAAGACAGACTGAACCCATGCAGTATTTTAAGAGAGGGAAACAGCGTGGTTCTATTCCATGCCTCTTTTCCAGCTGTGCACAGGATGAATTCTTCTACAAGGGTACAAACACAATTTGAGTATCCCTTTTCCAAAATGCTTGAGACCGGTAATGTATGGGATTTTTAGATTTTGGAAAATTTTTAGATTAGGTATATTCAACCTATATCAGCAAATCTCAACATTGGCAGTATATCAGGCTTCTCTTCGAAAATTGCAGTGTCGATATATGTCGTTTGGGGAGCTGAAGCACCTGAGGTGATTCTCATGTACAGACAGGGTTGGGAGCTAGTAGAGCCCACAGATGTGTGTCTTTGGGAGCTTACAGTATAGTTAAGAAAAGGACATTTAGCCGGGCGCGGTGGCTCAAGCCTGTAATCCCAGCACTTTGGGAGGCTGAGGTGGGTAGATCACGAGGTCAAGAGATCGAGACCATCCTGGTCAACATAGTGAAACCCCGTCTCTACTAAAAATACAAAAGATTAGCTGGGCATGGTGGCAAGTGCCTGTAATCGCAGCTACTCAGGAGGCTGAGGCAGGAGAATTGCCTGAACCCAGGTGGTGGAGGTTGCGGTGAGCCGAGATCGCGCCATTGCACTCCAGCCTGGGTAACAAGAGCGAAACTCCGTCTAAAAAAAAAAAAAAGAGAAAAGAAAAGGACATTCAGTCTCTAAGTTCAGAGGGAAGACAGCTATAGTCATCTGATTGCCTTTTCTAATAGTATTCATTTTCTCCTATCTTGAGCAGGAAAATGTTGGGGCTTTTCAGGAAGCATAATAAGATCCCTAGGTAAGTTGAAATTAACCGGCCCTCCTTGGGTACAGCCTGGAAGTAGTCACATTTGGAATTTCTTCACCAGCCTTAGCCACCACATTTGGGCACTCTTCTATTAGGCAAGCATACTGTCAACTCCCTACCATCCAAGGCATCCTGAGGCAAGCAGTTTTTGTATCTGTGCTCATGGATCACAGTACATTGGGGCTAACTTGAATAGATCATCATGAAGTCACATTGAATCAATGTTGATAATCCCTGTCCCTTTAAAGTTAGACTTAACCCCACTGGAAACAAATAAAAATAAATGTTAGACTTTATGTAATCGTGTCCCTGAAAGTACTATTGGGAATTCTGTTACTGAACTTATATTGGATCTTGCCTATAAGTGTTTTACTGAAGGGTTTGGAGAAAGTTCACATTTTGCCTTTCTTTTACAGAAATGAGTTGCTGAATGAGTTTATGGACAGTGCCAAAGTGTCTAACAGCCCTTCCCAGGCCATTGAGGTGGTAGAGCTGGCAAGTGCCTTCAGCTTACCTATTTGTGAGGGCCTCACCCAGAGAGTAATGACTGACTTTGCAATCAACCAGAAACAAAAGTAAGTGGGTCCTGTATCTTCACCATGAAGGAAAGTTTGTAAAATGGAGCAGACCTTTCATCCATCTGCACATTCAAAATGTTGATCACTTTCTATCCCGTATTTCCTTGCAAAAAGCCAGAATGTATTAATTTCATGATTTCATTTGTTATGCAAGTCAGGAAAGCCTATAGATTTGACTGTTAGAACCTTTTTTGTTCCGAATATAGTTTAATGCAGCTTCAGGGTCCCTTTTTCTGATTTCAAAACTGATAGGCCACAAGTGAGTGTCAGAGACACCAGGAACCCCAGCATCCAACTGAATTACAGTGTGATCCTCTGGTTTCTTTTCTTAACAGGGAAGCCCTAGGCAAGCTAACTGCATTCACCAGTGACCATGATACTGACAGCAGCAGTGACAGTGACAGTGACAGTGACAGTGACACCCGTGAAGGCAAATGAAAGTGGAGATTTAGGAGCAGCAACAGCCTCACCATAGCTACTGGAATTGCACCTGAGAACTGAGATACGCTAATATTTAACATTATTACAAAGAAGACAAGATGCAGATTTGGTGAATTTGTTCTGTGAGGTACAGTCAGTACATGGCTGACTTATTTGCTGCTTAATAACCATTTATTAATGCACCATTAAAGGTTTAGCATTTAAGTAGCAACATTGCCATTTTCAGACACATGGTGAGGTCCGTGGCTCTTGTCATCAGGATAAGCCTGCACACCTGCAGTGTCAGTGAGCCGACCTCACGCTTCCATCGTTGTGCGATTGCCCTCTCCCTGCTGCTGGGCTTCTGCTTTTCTTGGCCTGATGTGATGCTGGTTCTTCAGATATCTTAGAAAGGTGTTCATGCAGTTACATCACAGTTGGTTTTGGGTCAATAGTTTCCCAATTTCAGGATATTTTGATGTCAGAAATAATGCATCTTAGGAATGACAAAACAGGACAGTGGCAGTTTAGGGTGCACGACTGGTAAAATGACTGTAAATAAATGTTGTAATTAATGTACATGTGTGCATTTGTTATTTTAATATAGCCATTGCGAAAGTTTTCTAACTTGAACACCCAGAATGTGCCGTGTCTCCCTCTTTTTCATCTGTAGCTGGCAGCTACTTTAGTGGTTGAAACGAGAGCTAGTGATGACAAAAGGATGTGGAATATCTTCTTGACATCATTGTGTATTGTTGGTTATCAAGTTGGTAACAACTACTTCTAGCAATTCTACCACTATGTCTTAAATGGTCTTGGAAGGCAGTAACTGGAGATTTGCAGCATGCCTGCCTTCATGAGGGCTTCTGCCACTGGCGACTTTGCACACACCTGGCTCCCAGATTTACTTAGGTACCCCATCAGTTGTCCACATGAGCAGCTTCATCTTTATTTACCCTACCAGAGTTAACGATTACGGGATGCTGTAGTCTACTATACTTGTAAATGTGTGTTTCCATCTGTCTGCCATCCTCTTAAGGCCAGGGCCCAGTCATACATCCTTAGAAATGAAAGGATGGTTTGTGTTTTTTCTTAGAATGTCTGGTCTTGAGGGACCTCCCTCCCCTAAGAAAAAAACCAGTACAGTAACTAGCTACTTAAGCATCAATGGGTATCGCTCCACATCAAAGCAGATTTACAGGACAGAGAAGATAAATTAGCCTTCAGTCTTGGTTTACAGCTTCCAAGGAGAACCTGGCCACCTGAAAGGTTAACTTGGTCTCTTCCTGTCTCTGGTTCATCAGCACCTGCAGATGCCCGACTCTTCTTAGCCTTACTATTCAATATAGTCCTTAGATTCATGGTATGCATCTTCCTATCCAGGTGCCAATTCTGAATCCTCATGTTTCTCTGCAGCTAGGAGTGATAGGAGAAAATCCATCTGGGTAGCTGGCCCATGAATTTGTAGTAGACTTTGAAAATGAGTGATTTGTACCTTGGTAATTTTAAGTTTGTGATACAGTTACTCCAAACCCATACTCTGAGCAGTTTGCCTCGAACTAAGAAAAATTAAGGCCTCACAGGATGAGTCTCCATTCTCTGTAAATGTTTACTTTATAATAGTCTTAAGCCTCCACTATCAGTAAAATGTTCTTTTGGCCAGGCGTGGTGACTCACACCTGTAATCCCAGCACTTTGGGGAGGCAGAGGTGGATCACTTAGGTCCAGGAGTTTGAGACCAGCCTGGGCAACATAGTGAGACCCTAGCTCTATAAAAAATAAAAACTTAGCCAGACTGGTGGCATGTACCTGTATCCCAGCTAATCAGGGGATTGCTTGAGCCTGAGAGACGGAGGCTGCATTGAGCTGTGATCGCGCCATTGCACTCCAGCCTGGGCAACAGAGCAAGATCCTCCTGTCTTGGAGAAACCAGTTCAGAAGAGCAAATGGGGCTGGGTGTGGTGGCTCATGCCTGTAATCCCTGCACTTTGGGTGCCAGTGTGGATCACCTGAGTCCAGGAGTTTGAGAACAGCCTGGGTAGCTGGGCATAGTGGCACATGCCTGTAGTCCTAGCTACTCTGGAGACTGAGGTGGGAGGATTGCTTGAGCCTAGGAGGCTGAGGCTGCGGTAGCCATGATTGCACCATTGCATTGCAGCCTGGATGACAGAGCAACCTTTGTCTCTAAGTGGGGGGAAGAGGCAAATGGGATTAAGGATTCCCATGGAATGGGAAGGGGAAAGGCAGTCTTAATGTATGTGGAATAAACTTGCTCAGTGTTGCCTCCATTACATTACTAATGTGTAGAAGTCAGAAACTAGACTTCTAGATTGGTTCAACATTAACATTTGCAGATTTGAGGACTGTCTTAAATTATAGCCATCAAAGTATTGAAGCAAGAGCTTGGACAGCACTCAAAGATTCTACGTGTCTAGAATCAAATCTGGCACCTAGGTGCTTCTTAGTAAATGCTTAATGCCACCAACAGTGCAAACTTCATTGATTTTGAGACCTCAGTCATCTGTTTCTACAAGTAGGGGCATATGACCTCTAACTTCAAGAGAAGCACTAAGGTAACCACAGTAAATCAGACCCTCCAGTTTCAGCAATCTCAAAGCAAAAACGAAAAAAACCCTACTTAGCTGTTATATAAACACTATAACAAGCACTAGGCTATTGTACTGTCACTGGTTATATATCCATAGTCTCTAAAATAGGGTCTGCAAACTGCAGGATTTGAAATCAATTTTTGTGGGTGATTTTTTTTTTTTTTTGAGATTGAGTCTTGCTCTGTTGTCCAGGCTGGACTCTGCCTCCTGGGTTCAAGCAGTTCTCCTGCCTCAGCATCCCGAGTAGCTGGGACTACAGGCGCCCACCACCAAGCACGGCTAGTTTTTATATTTTTAGTAGAGACAGGGTTTCACCATATTGGCCAGGCTGGTCTCGAACTTTGTGGTCCACCTGCCTCGGTCTCCCAAAGTGCTGTGATTACAAGTCTGAGCCACTGCACCCGGCCATGATTAGAAATTTTTAATGAAATGCATTAGAACATCTAAGTACAATGCAATTTTGTGATAGTTGAGGTGCATTTTTGCATTACAGCATAGATCTGTGCATGTAGATACACACATGAAGTGTAGCAGATCATGATGTAAATTTTCCACTGCTGGTCATGGTCAAAAAGTTTGAAAAATGCTGAAGATATAGCAATTGAGTCACTAGAAGCACAGACGTGTAGGGCAGGTTTTATAGAACCATTTAGATTCAACATTAATGGTAGAGTGGCATTTTACCCAAAAAAAAAAAAAAAAATGCATATTTGATTTGGGTGCTGTAAGGCAGTGTGCTAGGTCATGGGATAATCAGATTACACAAAATCTAGGCAGTGAACACATCTTCAGCCTGGCCCAGGAAATAGCCTATGAAAAAATGCTGTCCAGGCCAGGCACAGTGGCTCAACGCCTGTAATCCTAGCACTTTGGGAGGCTGAGGCCGGAGGATCACTTGAGTTAAAGACCTGCCAGAGCAACATAATGAGAACCCATCTCAAAAAAAAATGCTGTCCACCTGTGGGCTTTCAGGATTCAGGATTGCTGAGGATCAAGCCCAAGAACCTTTTTCATAGCTCTGTGATGTAAGATGCTTGAAAACTAAGAATGTCCAAGAGGAGTAAAGATCATGACAAAATTTACTCCCAGGACAATTTTAAATTCTGCCACAAATATCCATGGTGTCTGTTCCCCAACAGTGGCCCCTTCACAGGCTCTTGTCTTAACAACCCCTGCAGAAGCCCTTCAACAAAACAGGCTAGTGAAACCTCCTCACATGGGTAAGAGTTGTAGTGGGCAGGTGACCCTCCTCCCGGCCCCCAGCCTTTGCTTCCTCAAGCTCCCTGCCAACCTCGGGGCCCAAAGATACATCAATAGGAAGGAAACCAGGGAAGCACAGACCTATAGTGTACAGTGGGGGTGTAGTGACTGCCGGACCTGATGAAGAGAATATGCCTCACATTTAATAAGGCTTTTTATTTCCCTTCTGTATTAAATGATCTGTTCTGCACTGAGCCAAGCAAGTTAGTTTTAAAACTGGTGGCACAACTCATTTGGGGCTTGGAGACTGCTTTTATCCAGAACCTGTTAAGAGAGCAGGGGATTTAAATTAATACAAAGGAATACAAAGGTAGTGTGCCTTAAAAGACTAAAGTTACATTTTAGTTTGTTACATTATTGATTTTGAAATTAATTAAACAACATGAAAGCAGAGTTTTAAATTAGGACACATGAATTTTAAAGTGAACACTGTCCTATATCAATGAGGAGGGAGGCAATGAGGTAATTTCAGGCTAAAACAGATTGAGGATGAAAGCAACACCCAAGTAATGATTTGGCTTTTTCTGATTTTTGCTGTGGCAATGGCAGTGGTGTGACTTTTCACTTGCAGTTTAGATGCAAGGCTGAAGTGAAGCTGACCTGCTGTAATGGCTCAGGGCTATATAAACTTAGCCCTTGGGATTCCATCTCCTGGAAGTAGCACTGAGAACCCAAGAAGAGGGTCCACTGCTTTTTGCAAATGGTTACTGAGTTACATCTCAGGAAGATTTTTACTAAGCACAAGGAAGGAAAATAAAGGCATAGACAAGTAGGGACTCCTTTTCAATAGCATCTTAGTTCCTAATAAGCAACTGGGGGGTGGAGGTAGGTGTGTTGGCTGGTAAAGGAACTAAGATTCAGAAGCCTGTAATCTTCATTATTTTGATCGACAGGCCAAAATAAACCACTCAAGGCCGGTAGCAGTGGCTCATGCCTATAATCCCAGCACTTTGGGATGCCAACGTGGGCAGATCACAAGGTCAGGAACTCAAGACCAGCCTGGCCAACATAGTGAAACCCTGTCTCTACTGAAAATACAAAAAAATTAGCTGGGTGTGGTGGTGGGCGCCTGTAATCCCAGCTACTCGGGAGGCAGGAGAATCACTTGCACCTGGGAGGTGGAAGTTGTAGTAAGCTGAGATTGTACCATTCCACTCCAGGCTGGGTGACAGTGTAAGATTCCGTCTCTAGATAAATAATAAACCACTCAGTATTGCTTACTTCTTTTACGTTCAGATAATCACATCTGAAGGAAGTTATTTTAGGGCTCCAAGATTTTCTTATAATCTATAATATTTTACATATCTCATACAAGTAGAATAGAAATATGACAAATAGGGAAGTTCAGCTTTACAAGCTAATGTATTTTGCAATTCTGTGCCACTCCAAAGGGGAAGACTGAATTTAGAACAGTCCCATTATCTCCTAATAAAAACACAGTATCCCCCAGGTAGGTGCCCAGAGTGCCTCTGCCTTTGAGATTAAGGACATTAATCTCAGGAACACAAAGTATGTGTTCCAATCAGAAACTAGATCTATTTTGTTAAGTAAATCCACTTAGGAGGGAACATAAGGAATATTAACATGAACACAAGCCAAAGGCAGACCAATATATTCCCAAATCAAAGGACAAGGCCAGTGCCATAGAGACACTTGAATGCAATTATCCAAATACCACAGCTGGAATATACCTATAGATACATAAAACAGAACCTGCCCCCTTTGGGATTGCAGATGTATTGCTCAGATAAAAGTGCCTCCTCAATAATT